TCTATTCCCTCCTTCTATCACATTCCGAGCCTAAATCCCATCTTTTTTCCGTTGAGAGCCGTGTCCAAGACGCAATAGTCCAAGGCAAGCCTCACAAAAGGTGGAACGGCTGGTTCCTTCCTCTCAACTGAAGTGGTGCAAGGGATAGGTGCAGTCGCAGTGAGTTTGCAAACAATGGGCCCATGTGCGAAAGCAACCTGTGATTGTTCCATGAGTCGTTCGGTCCGGACTGGTCTTGCAAAGGAGCAAAATCTGAGAAACATTCAATCGAGTCAATAGAGCTGGCACTCCCCCCAGAACAACATGGTCTAACGAGCACAAAATGGTTGCAGTATGTTGCAGCCAAGGCACCCGCAAACGAAAACGCGTTCCCTTGGTCGCATCGACATGTACAGCATGTACATCACAACCCAGATCCTCTGAATGGACTGTGGACATGATGTAGTTCAAACATTGCCATGTCCCATTTTTTTTTACATGTTCTACGATGTTCTTTCTGTGCTTCCAAACATGATTCCAAGAAACAGCTCTTGCAATGAGCAAGCCGCTCTCACATGTCCACGTCCGACAAACCGACAATTGTTCTTATTGCTGCTACTACTGCTAAGCTACTACTCCTACTCCTACTCCTACTCCTCCTCCTCCTCCTCCTACTACTACTACTAATACTCCTGCTACTACTGCTACTACTACTACTGCTACTCCTACTAATTATTCCTACTGCTACTACTACCACTACCACCCACTTCTACTAGCAGCCTTGAGTCACTGTCTGGAAGTCCTTTGCATTTCAACTGGGTCCCACGCACTCCTCGATGTTTCAGCCATTCGTTCAGGGGATCCCTCCGATAGACGGACATCACATCCGGTGGCGCGTTGGGATCCACCGCCTCACACCAAAAGGGAGGGGAACAGGGGAGGGGAAGAAACCAAACACCCCAAGAAAATGCAAACGGAAATTGATTTAAACAGCAAGACCCGCCAAAAAGGGCCCTTCATTTGCTGTAGGCTGATTTTTCTCACTGAGCTGGGTGGTGTCCGAAAAAGTCGTCTATTGTATGTTATTTGTATAACCACTGAAGGATCTGCCCCGTGATCGCACGAACCGGGTCTCAGGCTGCCTGGTTCGAGCTGTCCAGAAGGACTGCCCCAGTCCAGGCTGACAGGCTACAACCATGAAGCTTCTCCTCCTCAACCTCTGAATGTGCTATACGCTCCTGGCGCAAAGACTCCGCCTTCCCGAGTGCGTGTGCGTGTGTCAAAACGCGTGCGCGGTTGCACCGCGAATTCTGAGAGTCCCGGCCCAAGAGTTCGGAGTGTCCGGGTATCGAAATGCACTGAAGGAGTCCACCGCCTCGTGGAAGCCTTTGAACGCGATTCGCACCTGCGTCAAAAAATGGAAGGCTGCCCCTTCCAAATGCCAGACACCAAAAGCATCCAAAAGCCGTGTTCTCAACACGACAAACGCCCAGCTCTGTATGATCCGAAGCACCTCGTCCATGTAGTGAGCATCACCACTTCGAAGCTTTGAGATGCAAGCACCAATTGGCTCGTAGAAAAAGGAGCCCGTTGTCCCTTGAACACAGTGCTCTGGGAAGGGACCTTTCTGTGATAGAAATGAGCAGTGCTTCTTGGGATGATAATCTCCTCGGAGCGCAGATGGCTAGAAACAGCACGTGAGCTGACCACAGCACATGGACATTCCGGTGAGTTTGCCAACATATAGTATACATCTCTAGGATCCCAAACCCCTATTCCGAAGCAAGAAGTTCTGCAACGACTGGAGCTTTTAAGCTCCCAAAACTGCCAGCCAAGCTTCTAGTGAGCACCACATCACCTCCTCCTTGGGCCCATACAGGTCAAAATATCAGAACAAGCATCTTCCCAAAGATCGAATGTCTTCAAATGTCATCAAATGTCAAAGTCACCCAGGTGTCAACTGTTCATGTGTCATGCTCTATTGTAAAGACCGATGTGTCATGCGCTGAGGCGTGGACGGCGGGCGAAGTGCTTCATGAGTTGTACGATCTGAGGGGAAATGGAGCTACCCTCTGCAACGGCAAAGGCACCTGGCCGAAGGAGGCGACTTCCAGACATCAAATCAGGAAAAGGTCCTTGGTTTCGAGATATTGAAGGAATTGAGGATCTTAAATCAGTCCAGTCACGTGTGTTTCACGCATAGTGTACCCATCAGTCTAGTGCGCTCGTCTCGAGTCCCACAGTCCACAGTCAACATGAGGTGGCCTCCATGGGGATTGAGCTGATCTACCTCCACAAAATCATTCCTTGGTCAGACCAGGTCGTGGGCCAATCGGTCGAGTCGAAGAATGTGGAGATCTCGAATGTTCATCAGGCTGATGCTGTTCATCAAAGTCCATGCCAAGATGCTGCATGTCCACTACAATAAGAACGTCGCCTCCTCCAATCTTTGTTTCAGCCGTATCCACCAACTCTCCCCATCCAGCCTGTCCAGCACGGACCGGTGAACTTGTATGGAATGCTCCCAGGATCTCGGACTTCTGAGAGCAGGTGTTGAAAAACACAAACGAACTGCACACGGTTTTGAGGCGGTGCCCTGGGAACTGCGCACGAGTCCTGCCGCACCGCAAGTCCTTCCCGGCCCACCCGGTGCCTCTTCGGCTAAAAGCAAATACTCGGCGAAGAGCGGACACTGATCCGCGTGCATGCGCCATTCAGCCACGCGCTGGGTCATCTCTGTTTCGGAGAAAAGTGGCTGGATGGAGATCAACCTCTCCGAGCAACTCTCGTTGCCACTCTTTTGTTTGGCATAATATGTATGTATATATTATAGAGAGAGAGAGAGAGATCCAAGGTTGGACTTGGGTGATATTGCCATGGACACAACCAAATTCACGGTGTCTGCTCATCTTGGAAACAGGTTGCGGTTGCAAATCATCCACTCTACTCTACTCGATTCTTGCCAACGTCTCCTCAAAAATAAAAATGCATGTTGAATCATGTCGAATATGGGTGTGACATCCCACAAACCATGACAGGGTGGTGTGCCAATCTCCGATTGGCAAAGATTTGGAGGGATCAATTCTGCTAATTTCTGCTAAATATATATATATATATGTATTATTGTTCTTATCCTGGGCTAATTTCTAATGTACATTTCTTGCAAATTTCAGTTTTTGGGCTCTCCATAGTCCATTTTTGTCTGCGCCACAAGCATCCACAAGCTGCAGAAGCCGCAGCTGACGGGCAGCTCAGAGTGAGGCACCTATAAAAGTGCAAATTCGTTGATTGATTCAAAATACATTGTGACATACTAGCTGCTTGGCTTCGGTTGAGCTGAAATACATGTTACACATCGCTTTGAAGGTTACAAGCATCCTTGGCTCATCCACAAGTTCCTTGGAGCTCGCGGAAGTTGGGTGGACATGTTTGGGAGTTGCAGCATCCCAACGAAGACTGCATGCCACATTGTATTGCATCATGTCAATGTCAGTTCTACCCAAGCGCAAAACAATAAATTTGTCCCGCTCTGCAAGAGCCCTCCTGAATTCGCCACGTTACTTCTTTCTGGGGCTTTCAATCTTGACCAAAAGATCCTAGGAAATAATGATACTTTAACGGAGATCCAACAAAAGTTTCAGCGGGGGGTGGGCGCGCCCAAATAGGGAAATGATATCGGTCTTTGCTTGAAATGGATGTCCCGGAAGTGATGGCAGCACCTCGCCCTCTGCAGCCCAACTTCTGCATGGCCTGGGGCTATGGTAGTCAAGAAACGGAGCTGTGGGGTTTTGTGGATAGCCAATTCATTCATGGCCAAGTCCATGGCTTGTACATTTTACACTCTGCACAAGCACGATCCAGCCGGTGAGCTAGCTCACGAGTCTTTGGCAATCGCATCGGCGGCAGACGACTGTACAGGAATCTACAGCTTACTCAGCATGGCGGCATTCGCCTTCAAAACGGCCACCGCCTCATTGACCATATCTTCCACGATCTTCTTCGCAGGCTCTACACTCTTAATGCCACCAACCGCCTGTCCTGCCAAGCTATTGATGGCATCCAGGATAGACCTCCGCAGCTGCTGATCGTCCACTTTAAGGTCGTGCTGTAAGGGGATGATGCCTTTCTCACAAAAGTCCTTGATCTTCATTGGCTCCTTCTCCCAGCTTCTCACCCAGTCGTTGGGGATTAAACGAAGAGGCCGCCCAGAGACCACCAAGGTTCGAATGGTGTCCAGGCTCTCAGCAGCAAGGACTTTGTCCTGAAAACATATAGTGGACGTTCGAGATTCTGTCAGACTCTTGTAACCATCAACATTTAAAGCAAAGACATCATGACATCCTCCAACTCTTAGTTGACCATATAGGTATTGATAATATAGTCAATATACTTCTAGTATATATCTTCGAACTTCTCAACTTGCACCCTTTCTTCTCATCTCTATCCTCTCTTTCTTTCCTCCAAGTTATATAGCCTCGCATTGTTTCACCTCTTCAATCTTTCCTTCTCCTTCTCCTTCTCCTTCCAAACCGCACCTTGTGAGTCTTGGGCGCCGAGGATTCCTCCGCGCAGATGAACCGCGTCCCCACCCAGACCCCCGCAGCACCCAGCCCGAGCGAGGCCGCAAGGCCGCGGCCATCGTAGATGCCACCGGAGGCCACGCAGAGCACGGGGGAACCGAAGAAGTTCCGGCGACCACGGCAGGCATCGACCACCTGGTGCTGTGGGAAGGATAGAGGGCACAGACTAGTCGAAGGTTCCAGAACATTACAGACTAGTGACTAGAAGCTTGGAGAATCATCACGCCACGCACCAGCACATAGGTGGGTTGAGTTGTGAAAGATTGGATTTAGGTAGGTGATGTTTGACTTTTTGAAGCACACAACTGGTACAAAAGGTGGAGGAAGTAGAAAGTGAAATGGAGAAATCCTATCCCTGCCTGAGGGATCAAGCACATGGTACCAATTTCGCCCGTGTGTCCACCTCCTTCCGTCCCTTGAGCAATGATCATATCAACCCCAGCATCCAAGGCTTTCACGGTGTTCCTCACTGAACCCACCATGTTGGCAATCACCACACCGCCAGCGTGGAGCTTGTCCACAGCCCACTGAGGTGGCACCCCAACGGCACAAATGAAGAGTTTCGCCTTCTCTGCGACGATCAGGTCGATTAATTCCGGCAAGTGCCCATGAGTGTAGTCATGGTTGGTCTTCCTGGAGTAACTAAAAACCAACTCAACATGATTCCAATTGAAACGTGTTCTGTTTGAAGAAGAATGGTTGGTACGGTATGTAGTATGTCTGCAACATTTCCAGTTAAAGAAACCCTAATCCCGGTCCAATCACCAAGTCTTTGGTCGCTCGTCCCTCACCTGGCATTGCCACCAAGTTGTGGAATTGCTAAGTCAACTCCAAAGGGCAAGGACTTGTCCACCAAGCCTTGCTTGAGCCAGGCAATCTCTTTACTCAACGCCTTGGGTGACATCAGCAATCCACCAATGGAGCCAATGCCTCCTCCAAAACAAATTCGGGCGATACTATACACTTGTCGGACGCAAAAAAGGGTGGTGGTAAATAAAAAGAATAGAAGGCTCTTTTGTTGAAAATGCAACCGGTACCAGTCTAAACGAGACCAAAGTCAAGGATGCCAACACACTCTTCAAAAACAAATGCCCTGTAAGCCAAATATTCACAAGACAGTGCGCTTTGTGTGTGTGAACCAATTCGTGGATCCAAAGAACAAACTCAGTCCGCCTTCTGCGGCTTTTGGATGCGCAAAGATCCAAGGCGTCTCAAAGGCCCAAAGGACCCATGTCTGTGTGGAAACCCTCGGAGTCACAGGGAATCCGTTGATTTCGCTTCGAATTGTGCGTTTCGATTTGTGAGATTCATCATTAGCAGGGGGCACGCGGCCATCACGCAAACGCATGCCAACGAAGCTATGCGTGATGGTGGAAGCCAGGTCTGATCAACCTGGTGTACTGTGCCTGCTTTGTTGACCTGCTGTCCCAGCTTTTACTCCAATCTTTCAAAAAGGGCTATTGCATGCTGCAGACGTGCGCATTCGCCGTCACCCTGTAGCCGAGAGCCGCGGTTCGAGACTTTCAAGATTTGTTTAGACCTACTTCATTTACTCATGGTACTCTTAGGCGTTCATACCTAGGTGGGCGTGTGGCATGTGGCATTCAGTTCCGTACGCAATATCTCGAGTGTGTGTGTGTGTGTGCGCGTGTCTGTGCCTCAAAAACTTAGGACCCTGAAGCATTTGGCCCTGCAAGGTCAGGGCAAACGACTCATTTTGGAACACAAGATTAGACTCAATGTTTAACTCATTGAAAAGTGTCAAAGTCGGTACACAGGAATGATGAGAATTCGTTATTCGTGGTGCCATGGCTGCGCTTGGATTCTAATCCCCGATCACAGGATTAGCCTGCGTTGCTCACGGCCGCGGCCAAATCGGCGTGGGCGACACCGTTCATGCCAGCCAGCATCACGGGGTGTTGAATCCCCAGCAGCTCCGTCAATGGCGTTTTGAGCGCCATGGCAGGTCAACAGCCAGAGCGGGTGCAAGCTAAAAGGTGCAAGCTAAAAGGTGCAAGCTAAAGGCTCGCGAAGCGCTGGCCCATGTACGGGAAAAATCAGAGCACTTGGCACAAGGGGTATGTTCGATGCAATCAAACGACACCCCACATGTTTCACCGTTGCTTGTGCTTTGTTTATGCATTAGTTTAGTGATTTTACAAAGCTTGTTCAGCCAAAAGAGACCATATGTTCAGCAATGAGTGGATTGAGATGCCAAGAACACATGAAACAAACTCCATGGAAAAGAACATCCATGTGACTTCATGTCTTTGACGCCAAAAAGTTAAGACTCTGCTTACATGGCCTGACTCCGCGCGTTCGCCGAAAGCATCGCCCCCAAACTCTTCGTCGCCATGGATCAGCATAGGAACTGAATGGAACCGATAAGTTTATAGTTTATCTTGGAAATCGTGCCCACCTCAAGTGGAAGCAACAGCAAATTCTGCCTCCAGCTGCTCTGCTGCAGGTCGCATCCAGACCTTCTAGCTTTGGAAGACAAAACACAGGCTCAAGTCCCTTTGCCCTTCCGATACTCAACAGCACATGGTGAGTGACTGGGCTTGAAACCACGGCTTGTGCATCATCACGTGCAACCCCATGACCATTGATGCACAGTAAGCCTTGAGCAAGGTCTGAGGAGGAATCATGTCAATCAAGCAATGCCACCAGCAGCTTACTGTATTTATCGTAATGTGCCGACCAAGAAAAAGTGCAGTGTCAGCGTTTGTTTGTCCTGCAGTTGTGCGATTGTGTCGTCCAAAAACCAGTTGGTCATCAAGAAATCAAGTTGGTACAGTACTTGTCTCATGCACCAAGCAATACAAGTCTGGCCTACATTTTTGTGTGCCAAATCAAATTTGGCCAAGGCGTCCAGTGCAGCATCTGTGGTCTGGAGTTTTCTTGTTGAAGGGCGTTCAATGGCAGCTAGTTGCAGGAACTACAACCCCTGCAGATGAAGCTCGTGTGTTTGTTGGTCTAGTTTGCTCTTGCAAGGATAGTGATTCGCACTTTCCTTCCGGCCTCCCCTGCTAGCAAACATGAGCAGACCTTCAGACGACCCAGCGATGCCGGACAACTGAAGCAATCACAAGGCGCCCAGTGAGCACATAGCCCATCGTCTCACTGTCATCCACTAGAAGCACCAAGTGGGTTGGCCTCAAGCGCCTTGACTCTGTAGTAAACACTACAGTTGTTGCCCATGCTGCGCCCCACACCCGGCCAGCGGTGTGACAAGAGCCTACACTGGGATCACCCGGAGCGGCAACACCGGTGCTGGCAGGCTCTTGCGGGTAGGGCTGGCAGTTTTGATCCGAGGGTGTAGATCAATCCAAATCTTGCAAAGACAGCCAACATGTTCCTGCAGTACGCGCAATCTGTGGTGACCTGAAGCGCTCCGGTTTGCATCTCGAGAAAGGAAGCTGATCATCCCATCCCCCAAATCTCACCATCCAGTGCATCCAGGAGCGCACAGTCCTTCCTCCCAAAGCGCACAATCCTTCCTCCCCGCTTTTTCTTTGGCGAAAGAATGAGCTGAACTTTGCAGCCGTCGAGAACCGCTGAACTTCGCGCTTCTCGACGCAAAGGTTGGTCTGTTCACCAGCATCCTTTGGCTAGTTGGTCTAAGAGAGCATCCACATACCCAAGTCACCAGACAGTCCAAAGATTGTAACTTTTTCTCCGGATATGGACTCATATGATATTTGTACCACCCACGTTCACCCACCATTTCATGCTATTTCTTGCATATAATAACTAAGTATATTCCTTTGGTGGTTCTCTACGCAATCTTCTTGTAGCTCGTTTCATGGTGGAGGGTTCAGGATGGTTCAGGTAGCTAACTACTAACCCGCAGGCCCTGCCTGCCCGTTGTCAGGTCTCACGAGTGTCTCGGGCAAAGAAGCGCTCCAATCTCGAAACCAAGGGAGGAGGCCATCGACGGATGTCCTGACAGACTAGACACTTTCAGCTGCTTGAGACGGGCGTGGTTTCAAAGCATTTGTCTGTTGTGCTTTTTACCAGAGGTTTGTGCTATTGAAAGGCACAGATTATGACTGAATGCTTCGATCCATTGGGTTGGGACATGTGTTCTTGTGTCCCTTTCAACTTCAACATCGCAGGCATACCCTCGCAGCCACCCCGCATCGAGTCCTTCACCCAAGATATGTCTTTATACTGCTGGCACCCCAGTTCAGTATTTTGGCATGCGACTCGCCATTCGTCTTCAGCTCGTGAATAGTTGCTGGAAGACCAGTAGGAGACCGCCAAAGCGACGTGGGCATCTACAATATTCGGGTCTCGCTTGGATACGTCCTGCTTGGGTACATCGCGGAAAGCTTCGTTCAAGCCCCGTTTTGGTTTGTGTCTTGAACGAGCAAGATGCCCCAAGGTGAGGCAATGAACTTATAGATGTTTTTGAGCAGGGACTGGGCTGTATAAACCCAAAAAGCACCACGATGATTGTGATGCCTCTCAAGCGGCCCCCCATTGCGAGGCTCACCTGTCTCAAAACATGGTTTCAGTCAAGTCAGGTGCCAAAAGCTGACTAAGAGACTCCTGGAAGAGTCCTCTGTTGACGAAGGAGAATGGTGAATCCTTGTGAAGTTGTAAGGTGTTCACTGTATACATAGTTGAATTATTAGTTGTTCATTTTGGCAATCCCGTGCAATGTTGGTACCTGTGAGAAACTACCCAACCTTAGGTTCAGAACGCTTGCCGGGCTTTTCCGCACCATTCAGGTCTTCCATGGTTCTGTTTTCCACAAAAACGTTACTAAACAATCCTACGTGGGTGTCCAACTGGGATTGAGTGAAAACAACTGTTTTGCACCAAAAGGCAAAACCCTGGAAGGTTGACATCCTTGGAAGTTCCAACCTCCACATCCACTGACGAAACACCACCCCGGACATGTAAGTCCTGGAGTCTGAACAGGGACCACTGCAGTAGCCCAATGATCGTTCTACAAGGGTTTGGGACCTGATGGTCTTGTTATCTCTTTTTTTGCTTACCGGCTCCATGGGCATTGAGGGTTTGCCAATTACACACAGAATAACCTATAGTCCCTGGTCTTGGCCTATTCCTAGTTGCTGACCATCTGCAGGACATTGCAGGACAAAGTAAAAGCTGAAATGTGTCACCAACCACAAATGACACACAATACTGACTACATACCTAATACATTCCAATACTGCTTCATCTGTCTGAGGCGAAGTTGTACAACGTATCTGCTCTGTCTGAAAGGCCACTCAACAAAGGCCACTCAACAAAGGCCAATGGGCCGTGATGACAATCTGGATCTTCGTCTGCAATAGTCTAGGAACAAGGACGCTACTAGTAGCTCCTGGCACGCTACTAGGAACAACTAACAAGGGCATCGCTACTAGGAGCAAGAAGCTACTAGGGTGGAGGCCATCTTCGTTTCGCCGTCTCCTCCATAATTTGGATCGCCTCAGCATCCTCCTCGGCGCCAAAGAGCGCTAGAGCCTCGTTGCAGCGAGACACGGCGGCCTGGCTGTACTCGTTGTCCTTCACGTGGCATGGTTGGGTACAAAGGTTTCACTAACCTCCGCAAAGGTGCAGGGATTGAATTGGATTTGGGGATGTTAATGTTTCTGAGAGATGGTCCAAGGCCTGACATGTGGTGAGTCTTTCGTGTAAATGAATGTAAATGACATACCTTTGAGCAAAGGTATGTGAAGGCGAGTCGAAAAGACTTTGCACCACGAGTCCTTTCCTACCGGCTCCGCATCTCAAAAATTTGTGGCGGCCCAACGACATGCAACGACAAGCACCACAACAGCATCTTGAAGTCGCAGGCTTGTTCATGGACAGGCACCTCGTACCATTCTTCAACTGAAATTCAGAAACAGGGTGCATTTCCGATACCTACCTCCAAGTCAAGGGCTCAAATGTCAACCTGACTTCCTCCAAAAACCGACCTTTGCGCCATCCACCGTCCACCCACCCTCCCCGTGGGTCGACTTCTGGTTCGGTAACCAAAACTGCTGATTCGGTAACCAAAACCAGGAAACCAAAACCAAACACATTTCCAAAAGAAGAAACTGATGACCCGGGTGGTAGTAGTAGTAGTAGTAGCAGTAGATGGTGCGACCGATGCAAAATCTGTCCGCGAAGCAACAGGAAAAACGTTATTATCTTTGCAATAATTCCCCCCCCCCCCCCCCACCCCACGCTCCTCCGCCACTAATTCTTACTTGAATGAATGTAAAAGCCCTTTGCATCCACATGGAACGTTATTATCTTGGCCATGATTCACCCCCCGCCCCACACTCCTCCTACTTGTACCCTCCACCCAAGCCCTTTGCATCCACATGGAACGTTACTATCTTGGCCATGGTTCCCCCCCACCCCCCCCACCCCACACTCCTCCTGCCGTCCACCACTACTTCTTACTTGACTGAATGTAAAAGCCCTTTGCGTCCGCATGGAACGCTATTAATTATCTTGGCTTAGTTTCTGAACAGTCTAACTTGGTTTCTGAATCGACTGTTTTGGTTTCTGAATCGGCCGTTTTGGTTTCTGAATCGGCTGTTTTGGTTTCTGAATCGGCTCTTTTGGTTGCTGAATCGCCTGGTTTGGTTTCTGAATCGTAGTTGCCTGATCGGTTGGTTTCTGAATCGGCTAATGACCCTCCCCGTGGCGGGGCGACAGGCGGTCCTGGCGGAAGATCTCCGTGGCCTCGCGGTAGTCGGCCAGCGCTTCGCGGAAGCGGCCCAGTTGGCTGAAGGCGTTGCCACGGAAGTTTAAGACCAGGGGATTCACGCCCAAACCGGTCCTCAAAAGCCGGTCCAGAAGGCGGTCCATAAGGCCAAATGAAGCAGTCGTAAACGAATCGTTGATGTCTTTGACGATCTTTGATGGGCTTTTGTTGTGTTCCTGCCAGGTAGTTTTTGAGGTGTTGTTTTGCCATTCAATGGACCAAGGCGCTTCTCTTTTCAATTCAAACAGATCCTGTCCCGAAATAGAAAAGGAAATCCGTGGTTTCATGATTATAGGGAAAACAGCAATAATATTGTATATGTATTTTTGATTTAAGCATGTGTCATTCTAAAGGAGACTGGAGATTGCGCTGAGCCTGGAAGGTATCAGAGTTTGACATTGCATTCAAATCTGCGCTTGAAAGGTGGAGTGCCAATCCAAGGCAATCTTCTTGTTGGCCTTTGAACAGCTTACTGTGCAATATCTTCTTGTTAGCCATTGCTTGACCGTCAACTTGACCGGTGCCGAGGAGCTCCGAAATTGGTCTAGATCGCCAAATGTCAATGGCCTTGCTGTAGTCCTGCAGACTGGGAAACTGAGGAAACTGTCAATGTCTGTTGTAAATCACTGGCGTTTGTGCCTTCCCAGGTGCTTGGCCCTTACACACATCTCCGGAGGAAGGTTCATGCTTCGTCAAGTTTCTTAATTGAATCACCAGAAAGTGAGCAAGTGCTCAACACCTTTAGGTGCACTCTACAATGTCCCACTTTGCAATTCCCGACTCGTCTTAGTACAACACCTTTTCTATCGACATGGGAGTCTTTGTATTTGCTGAAACGGTCCTGTACTGCAGCTTCCCATTGCTTTTTGTCACGCCTTCCATAGGCAATCTCCTCCTCTGCCAATGCCCGCCGGACGAATACATTAGGGTAGTCGAAAGTACCTCAACTGCAGTTTGCAAGAGCTGACAAAAGGAGGTCGCACAACAAAGCAAAACTCTCCGCCCCCAACCCCCCAAAAAAAGACTGTAACAAAGGCCTCCGCTCGATTCTCATGATTCTCTCCGAACCAGACACTTCCGTCCAACGATGCTCCGTTTTTCTCACGAAGGCACCTTCAGAGGTGGCATCTTCCTCCATCAGCCGCACGACTTCCGTGTAGTCCTCCACGGCGGCTTCCGCCTTCTCCGGAAGCTTTCCCCCTCGGAGGAAATCGCAACACGTGGAGCCACAACGTGCGTTCCAGGACTTTTGAGCATGAAGCGCAAATAGCCAGCGCTCTTTAGTAAAAAGTTTTCGCTAGTAGGTTGGAGGCCCTCGCTTCTAAGTTATTGCTCTTAGGTTCGAGGCCATCGCTTCTAAGTTATTGCTCTTAGGTTGGAGGCCATTGCTTCTATATAAGTTGGAGGCCATCGCTATGTTGGAGGCCATCGCTAGTAGGTTGGAGGCCATCGCTAGTAGGTTGGAGGCCATCGCTCTTAGGTTGGAGGCCATCTCTATTCGGGGGGTCGTTTTCTGTCAAAACTGAAGTGGGCTCTCTTTTGGCCATCGAGGTGGAAGGTTTGTCAGTGGCAACTCTGGGAAGATGCTGGCCGACGGCGGCCGAAGGTCTTTCAAATATCCCGAGACCCTCAGGCCTGTGCTGTCATTGATAGCAATTCTTGCCTGTAAATGCCAGTCGCTCTCTTCTCTCTCATACCGTGAATGTAAGAAGCACTGGAAGCACCGAATGGAACACTGAAATGATCCCAAGTTCTATTTTGATATCCTTCCAGCTTGATTCCTTCTAGAGATGTTTCTGGTCACATCACAGAGATACGCCATACTGTCAAGATGCCAAAACTATCCAAAACTAACATGCATCCCACTAACCTATCACCAAGCTAACGCAGTGCCCAGCCAGTGGAGGAGAGTTGCTTAGATCAGATCTCCTTGATTTAAGTTGTATATATATATATATATATATCATTGTCTTAGGAGGTAAAATTGCATCATCCACAATCTACAGTATAGACTCTCCCAATCAAATAGCTCAATAGCTCCCTCCGAATAACACTTGGAAGATGATCTGATGGTTTTTCTCGCAAAGTCTTTGTCTCTTTGCCTCAAATTCACAGCTGAACCAACGCCCCATGGCTCCCGCCTGCGCGCGAGCCATGCGGATCCGGCCGATGTCCTGGCGCGAGGCGCCGGCCTGGAAGTCTTCAATCACTTTCGAGAGCGCCTCACAGCGGGGGACGGAGCTGAGTACTTTCTGATCAACCGTACTAGGAAGCAACTCCGAAAGCTGAGGTTTCAAGGGTTGTTGAACAGTTGCGCGAACGTATGTCCGACTCATCCGACTGCGGATTGATGAAGACCCCTCTTAGTACTTTGTAATCCACTGAATGTCTTGGCGCCAAACTGCTTGCAGATGCTTGGAGTAACACTGTGCAAAACTTGTGAAAAAGTAAGAACATGGAAGGATTGAAGTCTTGAAGAGCAAGACGCTTCTTGAATGCTTGTCAAAAACCGTCTGATGCGTTGACAGGTTCGTCACCCGACCAAAAGAAGTCGACCAGGTCCAGTTCATCTTCGCCTCTTCTGCATCTTCCAGTTCATCTCGTGCCCCTGGCCTGACAAGTACAATTTTCAGAACGGCAAACATGGCAGGTTCGGCAACTGCTAAGTCAATTTGTCATCATGAGCTGGAGATAGCTGAAGCATGCTGCAGAGCATGTGGACCTCCCTGTTCTTCTTGTCTTTTCGCTAGTGTTTCCTCTTGGACAAGTGGCGAAACATGCCGAATGTGTGCGGAGCCCACCGCCTGCGGGGATCCCTTGCAAGGATCTCGAAGGCTCTCCGCAACAGAATGGCGTCTTCTGCGGAAGGCCCCTCCTGACATTGCGGTAGCCAGATGTTAGTGTCTGTTTATCTAGAATCTATAAGATATCATGAACTGGAACTGAGGAGCTCAGAAGAATCTTTGAACCCACAGTTTGACAGTTCTCCCAATCCTCGGCATGCGCCGGTCGGGAGGCAATCCCAGCCAAACCTGGAACACAGAAAAGGAATGAACATCATGTGCTCTCCCATCCAAGAATTGCCGCATCACCCGGCAGAAGTCGGCAAAATGAATTAGGACGCTTTTCCTGCGAAATAATTCGTGGAGCTAGACCGCAGCTAGACTCATCTCAACACTGTTGCAGCAGGCGCTGTGTGTCCAGTCTCCTGAAGTTTCCCGTCAAAAGACGTGTAGTTGCAACTCTCCGCCACGGACCCACCTGCGACCGCTCTGCGACCCAGGAAGGCCGGCCATGGCGCCGCACACGCGCAAAGACCCAGAACGCTCAAACGACCCAAGCGCCGCAGGGAACTCATCGTAGAGCTTGAGCCATGCTGGGCACTTTGGCCACACGAAGCCTATGGACAATCCCTTCAAACACAAAAAACATGTTCATGATTAATGTTTTTCATATTCTTATCTTCTTCCAGTTCGAAATCGTATCTACAAACGCGGCTCGTTTTGATATTTTTGTTGCTGGGTGCGCTTTCAAGCTTTCGGGATTGGGTACAGAAAATTACGTGTTCAAAATTGTGGTCCAAAATCTCTTCACTTCTGAGCTGTGGGCAAGGGCCAAGTTCTTCTGTGCCATGGCAAATCCGACCTACTACAAGCGATGGCCTCCAACCTTATAGCGATGGCCTCCGACCTGAAAGCGATGGCCTCCAACCTTATAGCGATGGGCTCCAACCTAGAAGCGATGGCCTCCAACCTCATAGCGATGTCCTCCAACCGTATAGCGATGGCCTCCGACCTAGAAGCATATGGCCTCCAACCCTATATGGCGATGGCCTCCAACCTAGAAACGATTGCCTCCAACCTAATAGCAATGGCCTCCAACTTAGAAGCGATGGCCTCCAACCTTACAGCGATGGCCTCCAACCTATAGAAGCGATGGCCTCCAACCTAGAAGCGATGGCCTCCAACCT